CCCCCCTCCTCCCCCCTTTGACTGTCCTTGTATATCACTACCCTCCCATGCACGAATGTACATCCATGTGTTTGCGGCAGCAACAACAGGAAAGGCAATGGCCCGGCCGGGCTGGTGTATTACTTCTGAAAGAGGAGGATCAGGGCAATGGTGAAGATGCTGACTGCTGCCACGCAAACCATGATCATGCCAATGCGCTTGAGGACGCGGATGCGTTGGACATTGCCGTCGGCCTGCTCCCAGCGGTGGTGTCGGCGGGTGGCCAGGCACGACTGATCGCACCCGGGCACCGAGCCACGCAAACCATGATCATGCCAATGCGCTTGAGGACGCGGATGCGTTGGACATTGCCGTCGGCCTGCTCCCAGCGGTGGTGTCGGCGGGTGGCCAGGCACGACTGATCGCACCCGGGCACCGAGCACGTTCTCCCGATGCACAGGTAGAATTGAGCGCGAGACCAGGCCAGGCATCGGGCCAGCGGGCGAAATCCCCCAACAGCATGATGCCCGCTCCCACCCTGACCACCATGGCCGGACCCGCCGGTCATCAGCAAGTACTGATCCAGCTGGATGTCGTCTTCGAAATTGTCGAATACATCCTCCTCATCGGTGAGCGACAGGTCGAAGGCCCCGGATGTGAGCAGATCGGAAGAGCACACGTGCGAAATCCCCCAACAGCATGATGCCCGCTCCCACCCTGACCACCATGGCCGGACCCGCCGGTCATCAGCAAGTACTGATCCAGCTGGATGTCGTCTTCGAAATTGTCGAATACATCCTCCTCATCGGTGAGCGACAGGTCGAAGGCCCCGGATGTGAGCGGCTGCAAGTTGATGGACACGGCGCCGGCGACGCCTGGCAAGGATGCCGCTAACCGGATGTCCATCGGCAGTTTGCCTGTACGCGTGCCTGCCGAGGGCTCCTTGGCGGCCGGCAAGGGCCCGACATTCTGCTGGATGCACTCCAGCAGGGCGTCCACATCCTGCGCGAGGAGTGTCCGTTCGTCTAGGGATGCCGCATCCCCCATTGATGTGGGTGGCCCCTGTAGCTGACGGCGGACTGGGAAAGGGGCGGGGGGGGGGGGGGGGGGGGGGGGGGGGGGGGGGGGGGAGAGAGAGAGGGAGGGAGAGGCGGGCGGAGGGATGTACAGTGTTAGACTGAGAGTGGGGGAGGGGCACAGGCAGAGAACGGGGCACATGGGCCACTCTCCTCATGGCGGGCGAGGGGGAGGGTGAAGAGGCGCGTACTGAACATGTAGTTATCGACCAGCGCAGACCCTAGGGGACGAAGGGCCGCAAGGCGTTCCAGGACGGGACCCGCGGTGTGTGTGGCCGAGCGGCAGGCCTTCCAAACGGGCGGGCTGTCCTGGCCATCTCGGAAGGCCGTGGCCATGGCCAGAAAGACATCCTCGATTTGGAGCATGAGCGAGGAAATGTGCAGT